AAGGGAGGGGGAGGGACATTTCCCAGCTTTAAGATGCTCAAGTAACATCTATGAGCTCTCTTTTGAGGAAGTTGCCTTTCTCTTCAGGAACCCAGGCAAGAAAGAAAACTATATGGCTCGTGGCTGTAAGGACCTAATGGCATGATGAGCATCCTCCAGGCCTGGAGTGCCCAACACACAACAAATAAAGTCACTGGCTGGGCCAGGGATTTCTATTGTTACTTTTAGTTACTGAGTTGGGTTTATTTCAAGCTTTTTCATAACTGGAAATATCCTCTGTCCCTAAGGACCAATGCAGCTGCCATTCCTGTCCCTCTGTAGGACCTCTCATCTGCAAACCACATTCACCAGCAGGAAATCCAATGCCTTCTCTTACCACAGCTTCACAAATCTAGTTGGGGTCACATGTTCCTTATTCTCTTCCCATCTCAAATCCAGGTATCTGCAAATAAGCAAAATATTTGGCCTTTATATGCCTTCATAAAATACAAGGACCTGGGAGATGATCAGTATTTTCTGGAAGAAACCACAAGGTCTGTGTTCTGCCCAACCATTCCAAGCAAGGTTCCATGATTTTCAAGAGCCAGAAGAGATCCATCAGGAGATGGGATCACAGGGGGTGTCCACATTGGATTTCACTGTATAACTGAATTAACTTGCTAACTGAGCCCCAAATTCAAAGGCACTACTAAGATGCAGGATGCTTTGCCCCCACGTGGGATTGTGCCACCACAGGAAGGGATAAACACATCCACCCATGCCAGACTGCCACAAGATGGATGTGCAGGAATCTGCCTAGGAGCAGAGTCTACCTGACTCAGGGCCAGGCTGAGCCAGGTACCTCACAAGTGTGCAAAACACTGGGAGGGCCCCTGAGGGCAAAGCAGGTTCCCAACAATGAACAAGAGATTGTGTCCTAGAGTCTTCAGATGGGCTGCATCAAAAGGGATGTGGCCAGCAGGTCAAGGGAGGGGATTCTCTCCTTCTACTCTGCTCTTGGGAGATGCCACCTGGAGAACTGGGTCCAGGTCTGGAGCCTCCAACACAAAAAGGAGATGGGGCTGTTGGAGAGAGTCCAGAGGAGGCCACAACAATGACCCAAGGGCTGGAGCAGCTCTGCTCTGGAGCCAGGCTGGGAGAGTTGGGGTGTTGAGCCTGGAGAACAGAAGGTTCCGGGAGACCTTAGAGCAGCTTCCAGTGCCTGAAGGGGCTCCAGGAAAGTTGGGGAGGGACTTGGGATAAGGGCAGGGAGGGAGAGGACAAGGGGAAATGGATTAAAACTGGAAGAGGGGAGATTTAGGTGAGGCATGAAGAAGAAATTCTTCAGTGTGAGGGTGATGAGACACTGGAACAGGTTGCCCAGGGAAGCTGTGGCTGCCCCATCCCTGGCAGTGTTGAAGGGCAGGTTGGATGGGGCTTGGGGCAACCTGGGCTGGGGGGAGGTGTCCCTGCCCATGCAGGGGGGTTGGATGATCTTTAAGGTCCCATCCAACCCAAACCATTCTATGATTCTATGACAAATTCACCCTTCCAAGAGAACCATGCACAAGCTGGGAGAACACAGGAGCTGAGAAGGACCAAAGGCCTTAATTTATCCTCCTGTTCAGCTGGTTTTAGAAATTTTGCAATAGGAACGTGGCACTTCAGGCTTACCCAGCCAGGCAGACACTGTCCTGGTAGGTCTGTGCAGAGACATGCTCTTTTGGTTACCTTTCTCTTTGCTCAGGTGGCTCCAGCTCTGCCAGATGCAAAGGCAGAGGCAACCAGCTCTGTTGCTGGATCTGTTCATGGTGCCACCAAGCTGATGGTTTCAACCAGCAGAACCCTGATTAGAGCATCACCCCAAGGGCAGCTTCTCACCTTCGAACTTTCCCAGGTGAGCCAGAAAAATGTATCATCACTGTGTTGCTCCTGAAAAACAGAACCAAGGCAAGGTCAGGCACAGGGGAAGGATGCCACTTCTTTAGTAGACATGCTCAGTAAGGACCAATGCTTGGGTGCTGAGGGCCTTGACATCTGCCCTGGTAGCACCTGCCACAGGTGAGGACCCAAACAGCCAGGAGGCTGGAGGGCAACAGGACACCCTGTGGGTGGAACTGGGGCTGCAGCACAGGCAGCAGAGTAACACAGTCAGCAAGACTGGGCTGAGATTAATTTTTTTCTTGCAAGACCAGCAGTTTGGTGGAAAGATGTTCAGTAGAAACTCCATTGCAGCAAGAAAGAAGTGAAAAAGTTGGGTGCAATTTGACTTGCTCTGAGTTATACCAAGGATTAATCTGGCCTGTTACACTAGGATTTAGAAATTCTACCCTTTCTCTGTCATTCTGGATGTATGAAAACACAAAAATCTGTAATTTAAGGGAACACAGAGCTAGAGCTACCTAAACCCATATCTTTTCAGTAAATTTAGCTGATTTATAGCAATTTTGTATGTAAAATATAGATTTATAGCAAATTTATGCTGGCTGGTAAAGAATTTTCCAGTTGATACATTACAGAGCTTAAAAGCAATTTTAAATTCTACTGTCTAAGAAGAAATATTACACCTTGTGAATCAATTTACAGACCAAGGATAAAATAACATATTAAAAAATACGAAGAGAAAGTCCTTAATATGATGAATTGAAGTTTTGTTTCAACAGAAAATAAAGAATTATTACAGTTAATTTTTGTTGTCTTTCATTAGCCAACAATTATGCTGTAATGTGTCCATTTAAAAAGCCAGCACAGCGGTGTTCCATAGGGGTCAGGACTGGGCCCAGTCTTTTTCAACATCTTCATCCATGACCTGGATGAGGGGATGGAGGGTGTGCTCAGCTAGTTTGCTGATGACACCAAGCTGAGAGGATTGGCTGATCCAACTGAAGGTTGTGCAGTGAGATTTGGACAGACTGGAGAGCTGGATAAAGAGGAACCTCATGAGGTTCAATAGGAATAAGTGTAGAGTTCTGCACCTGGGGAGAAAAAACACCATGCACCAGTATAGATCAGGGGTTGACCTGCTAGAAAGCAGCCCCATGCAGAAGGACCTTGGGGTCCTGGTGGACAAGAAGTTATCCATGGGACAGCAAGGTCCCCTCATGGCCAAGAGAGCCAATAGTGTCTTGGGATGCATTAAGACCAGTGTGTCCAGCAGGGCCAGGGAGGGTCTCCTGCCCCTCTACTCTGCCCTAGTGAGACCACATCTGGAGTGTTGTGTCCAGTTCTGGGCTCCCCAGTTCCACAGGGACAGGGATTTACTGAAGAGAGTCCAACAGAGGCTACAAGGATGATGAAGGGACTGGAACACCTGCCTGATGAGGAAAGGCTGAGACACCTGGGGCTGTGTAGTCTGGAGAAGAGAATACTAAGAGGGGACCTGCTTAATGTCTATAAATACCTGCAGGGTGGGTGTCAAGAATGGGCCAGTGTCTGTTCAGTGGTGCCTGTGACAGGATGAGGGGAAACTGCATCAAGTGACAACACAGGAAGTTCCACCTCAACATGAGGAAGAACTTCTTTGCTGTGAGGGTGACAGAGCCCTGGGACAGGCTGCCCAGAGAGGTGGTGGAGTCTCCTTCTCTGGAGACTTTCAAGCCCCACCTGGACACGTTCCTGTGTGACCTGCCCTGGGTCTTCCTGCTGCAGCAGGGGGGTTGGATTTGATGATCGTCAGAGTGGTTCTATGATTCTATGACCTAAAGAGACAACCTCTTTGCCAACAGCTCACCTGACACACAGCTCAGCAGCGTTTTGACAAGCGACGACCTCCTTTGCCAAGCACAGAAGAGCCTTCAAGGAGAGGTTGTTGTTGCTCAGGCTGTGGGCACAAAGAAGAACACAAAGCTCAGCTGCTGGACCTGACGACACGCTCGTGCCACATAAATGCCCTCTGCCCTGCACCCCAGCACCCTGAAGCACCCATTCTGTCATTCTTTTAGTCAGTGGGTTTCTCAAAAACTTGAGAATTTTGCATTTAGGACCAAAAAAAGCATTATCAGATTGAAGCTCTTCTCTGCAGGCTGTAGCTCCCATGCATTTAGTACCAGAGACACCTTCCCTGTGTGCAGCTGGTTTTGGGGCACAGAGTGAAGGTGCTTTATACCTTTTACACGACCAGCAGTTACACACCTTAAACAACCCAAGTATGGCCTAAGCAAGCAGTGTGGTCTAACCCCCCACATTTCAAACATCCCCAAAGACACAACACCAGCACCTCTGAGGATTTATGCTTTCATTGCTCATGTTTTCTGTTTCATTACATGCTGAACCCCATGAAATAAGAAACATAAGGTTTTACAAACCCTCTGCTTCTTCTTAGGGCCACGGAGCACAATTCCTGTGAGCCTCAAAGGAATCCCAGACTGGTTTGGGTTGGAAGGGACTTCAAAGATCATCCAGTTCCACCCCCCTGCATGGGCAGGGACACCTCCCACCAGCCCAGGTTGCTCCAAGCCCCATCCAACCTGCCCTTCAACACTGCCAGGGATGGGGCAGCCACAGCTTTCCTGGGCAGCCTGGGCCAGGCTCTCACCACTGTAGGTGGAACAGAGATGGGTGAAGGAATGAGGCTCACAAAAGCTTCTGGCTTCCTCCTTTTTCCACATGTTAAGCTTCTTCACTGGGGACATCCTGGCATTCCCCACAAGCTGTATCCAGTGTGCCCAGGGAAGCAGAGGAGCAGGTACCTTCCCCCTTTCCTCCCACTTTCCAACAAGCTTTTCAACACTTCTAATCATACTACAAAGCTAGTAATTAATTCCAGGATGTGGTCCAGCAATAAGTGCAGGTATTTTGGGGTTAAACTGCTCACTGTGCCCAAGGGTATGTGAAAGACCTTTAAAAGCAGAGTCACTCCCTTCTGACTGGGCTGGGCAGGCAGTGCTGTGGCTTTGCCTGCAGCACAGCTTTGGGGCTGCCCCTCTCCTGTAATGCAAAATACAATGAGACTCCAAAAGCAGCCCTGCTCTGCCTATTGCTGTTCCAGCTGCCCTTGTGAGGGCTCCACAGGCTTTACACCCCTTCACAAATCAGGCTGCTTCTCTTCACCTGAAAAGATACATATCTATTTGGGGAGTTTTCCTGGCAGTCAGTCCCTCTCATTCAGCACTGTGCTGTTCTAGGAGTGTCAGAAGGAGGAGTACAGGAGCAGAGGACTAACAAAAAAGCTGGGAAGACATGGATGGAGCCACCTTCTCTTGTGCAGAGGTGAGGCATCTCAATCTGAGCCTGACCAAGGGGAGAAGAGACTTGAGGAGGCAGAAGAGGAAAAAAGTCATGCCAGGCACCAAGTTGAGCACATGCATTGTGATACCTGGAGAGGTGTCAGTGGTGCTGGGATTCCCTTGGCTTTATTTTAAAACACTTGGGTAAGAACTGTGAGGCTGAGTGTCCCTCAGACTGAGCCAGGCCTCCAGCACAGCCCTGCCTGCTCTGCAATGTCTGTGCCCCGGCTTCATGCCCCACATGTTCTCCACTGACATGTTGAAGAGTGAGTGTGACCCATTAAAGAGACACCCAGGATTTAAACTCTCTCTGATGCTATGCTTGGCTTTATAACGGGCACTATTTTCCATAGGTTTAAACCATTTTTACTCACTCGATTTTCTTCAGGTTCTCCATTCTGGAAAACAGGTCCATCACCCTCTTCACCTCTGGAATCCGTATCCAATTGTCCTGCAAGCTGCACACAGATTCACTCCCATTAGTGCCCCAGGGAACAAGCAGCTGATTTGAAGGTCATCACCACATCACACTCACTTTATCTCCTCAAGCTGGAGACACTGTGATGAAGCCTGGACCAACTTAGTCATCCCCTCTGCTGTGATGCGCCCACCAGTCAACCTGGACAAAGAGAACCAGCAGAGGAAGGACTCACACCTGGGCAGTGAGACAAAGCCTGTCTCAAAGGTGGCCCCATGCCAAGCCCCCAGCACAGAGAGGACCTAGCATGACTCTGCCACCTGCAACCAACTTCACACTCTTTTTCCACCAGGGCAACGTGGCACTCGGTACCAGCACAGAAGAGCCACCCGTTCCCATGCCCAGCACTGAACAGCCCTGCACAGCAAGCAGGTGTCATTAAAGTGCCAGAGAGAAGAGGACAGACAGAAAGAGAGAAGGCTCTGACCTTCCAAATACTTACTCTAGTTTCTTCAGGCTCCCCATTCCTTGTACACTCTTTGAAAGAGCAGCAGCAAAGTCATTGTCACATCTCCTGCAGCGAAAGCTAAAACATGGAGAAGAGGGAATAAATGTGAACACAACAAAACCCAAAGCAGGTCTGGCCACAGGGAGGTGGCCAAAACACAATTTTAAAAAAAAACATTGAATTTCTTTGCTAATAGCCATTGTATCATGTTCTTTTTTGCAGCATCTTTATCTTCTCACACATCTGTTTAAAGAAACTCCTAACATTAAACTTGCCCATCAACTGGAAATACCTCAAGGGATGGCTCCTGCCTTTTGGTTTAGTGACACCGTGTGTAAGTGTTGCCACAGATGAAGAGTCAGCCCTTGTTGCCTGTCCCACCAGAGCCAGGACCTTGGAGACAAGGGAGGTCACACAAGGGCAAACCAGGGTTTTGCCCTTGAGGGTGGTGAGAGCCTGGGCCAGGTTGCCCAGGGAAGCTGTGGCTGCCCCATCCCTCGCAGTGTTGAAGGGCAGGTTGGATGGGGCTTGGAGCAGCCTGGGCTGCTGGGAGGTGTCCCTGCCCATGGGTTTGGAACTAGATGATCTTTAAGGTCCCTTCCCAACCAAACAACTCTAGAATTCTAGGAAATTCATGATTTAATCAATTTCTTCAGTATGAAAGTTATGCTGTTCAGATCAGAATTTCTCACAACTTCCTTCTCTCCCTTCTCAAGGGAACACCAGCCTTGCCCTTCCAAGCCCTCAGCCCTCCCCTCTACCCACCAGCTCAGAGCACTCCACGTGTTTACCTCAAGTGCTCCACATTTTTACAGCCAGCCAGAACCTCCAAACAGTCTAAGTCCACGAGGCATCCTGCAAAATCCAAACGAGTCAAATTCTGGCCTGAGTTTATGACGAACACCAAAGCTGACATGTCCAGAGGTGTCACTCTGAAGTTTTTAAACTCATACTTGAAGTTCAGAAGGCTCCCAATGTGCTTGGCTACTTTGAGGTCTTGCATTTCAAACATGCAGTGGCAGAGCTCAATGACCTTAGGCCCTGTCAGATGAGTGGCTGCCAGTTTGGTGAGGGATTGCAGGACTGTGTCCTGCTTACTCTGCACCCAAGCCTCATCTCGTTCAGCAAGCAGCATGAGAAATGTCCTACACTCTTTTGATGCCAAGCCTGAGAGGAAGATGTGAAAACTCTCCATCAACTCGGTCTTTGCCTCATTCTTTAAAGTCCACTTGGACTTTAAGAAGAACTTCTTCTTCAGGTATTTCCTGTCCACCCTCTGACTTACCATGAGACCCAGTGCTGCAAAAAACTCCTGCAAGCTTAAGTGCACAAAGGCAAAGCCAACCTCTGGGCAAGTGCCACTCGTCTTCACCTCAAAGACAGTCAGCAGTCCATGCAAGGAAGCAAATTCCTTCACGTGCTCTGGAACATCACCAACATAAAATATAAGCTTCTTCTCTTCCAGGCCTTTCAGTGCAAGATCACACAGACCCAAGATGGCCTTCTTGTTACAATTCAGCTGAGTCACCTCATCACCTGCAACCTCTCCCTGCTGTTTGTTTATGAAAATGAGAAGCATCTTGATATAAAACTGTGTCATAGTCTGAGGAAGCTCCACACTCATCTGATGTTTAAAGAGCAAATACTCCAAACAGACACACACAACATAACAGAGAGCAGGGATCAGGCACATGCTGAGGAGCTTGGTGTTGTTCTTCAGGTGGGCAATGGCTTGTTCTTTGAAGGAACTCTGATGAAAATAGTGGTTGACATATTCCTCAACCTTTTCATGGTCAAACCCCCAGATTTCTGCCAGCAGATCTACTGTGTTTAGTAAGTCAGGAAGTTTCTTGGACCTGCTGGTGACCAACACTGTGCAACCAGAGAGCAGCTTCCCATGGCAAAGGTCTGCAAAGAGCTGAGGGATGGACATACGGGAGGTAGGAGTTTGGCATCCCTGAGAAGACGATGACACGTCCATGTCAGCTGTAAACTCGTCCAGTCCATCAAAGATGATCAGTGTTCGCTGGGCATTTTCCAGGAGGTGCTGGAACACTACATCAGGGTCGTCTTCTGGCTGAAGAAACAGGTCAAACAAAAGCTCCTTCAGAGTCAATTTTCTTCTTAATAAATTCAGCTGCCGAAACTCAAATAGGAAAGTGAAGAGAAACTGAGGCAAGACACCTTCTGCCCAATTCTGGCAAATCCTGTGCATCAGCCTAGTCTTGCCTGTTCCTGGTTTGCCACACAAAAAGATCACCCTGGTTCTGTCTGATGGCTCCACACCCCAGAACAGGTCAGACACATTCATGGCTGGGCCTGCACATTCCTCAGGCTCAGAAGCACCTGCCGCGTCCTCGCGGGGCTTCTCTGCCTTCTCTCTCAAGCGGGAGGGTTTGCTCTGTTGAATGACAAGGCTGACAAAGGCTTGGTTGAAAGCCAGTGGCAGGGTTTGTGCTCCAGCTGTCCTGCTGCTTCCATACCTCTGGTGGATAGAATCAATGAGGAGACGCTGGTATTTTCCAGCTGGATCTGACAGAGAAGAAAACAGAGTGAGTATGAGAGTGGAGAAGTCTGTCCTGAACCATGACAGACCCAAGATGCTCCCTCAGAGAGGAAGTGGCCTGATCAGAGGTTGCTCCATTGGGGGTAGGTGAGGAAGACAAATTTTGAACAGATGAAAATAAGCCATAATTTTTTCTATTTTTGCACAGGGGATGAAGAAAAACATCAGAAGAAGCTGCATCAGGGGAGGTCTAGGTTGGATATCAGAAAAGGTTTTTCCCCCAGAGGGTGGCTGAGCACTGGAACCAGCTCCCCAGGGCAGTGGTCACAGCACCAGGCCTGCCTGAGTCATGATGCTCTCAGGCCCATGGGGTGATTCTTGGGGTGCCCTACACGGGGACAGGAGTTGGACTCCATGATCCTGATGGGTGCCTTCCAACCCAGCATGTTCTATGATTCTGTGATTCAGGAAAAAGGTGAAACAGCTTTATATAATAAGTAAACCTCATTATCTCTTTAAGGTAATACATGGGTATTGATGTATTACCCCACCACCTGAGGTATTACCCCCACAATTCACCCATGCTGGCCTTGTGCCACCCTTGCTCAGCTCTGCTCCTCAGAACACACCCATCCTTTGCTTTGAGAACCTGAGATCCCTGAGGGTATCAGCAACTCTTTGTTGCAGACAGAACAGTGGTGATCACCAAAGGCACTCAGGACCTTTCGAAAAACCTTGTCCTCACTGGTGTTGTGTGAATGGATAAGATTTGGTCTCCTCAAGAACTTTCCTGTAGGAAAACATTCAGTCACAAGGTGGCTCAAGCCCACCTGAGCTGCCAGCTTTGCCAGGCTCCCTGGGTCCCCACCGGGCAGTGCTGGACTATAGGGATTGCAAGGCTAAAAGCAGAGGAAGAGAAGGGTAAAGAGGGGTAAATGATGCAGGAAAGGACACAGGCACTGGTGTTATACAGCCCATGGATCTGCTCAGGCTACCCAGCCTTTTCTGGAATTGCTCTGGCTCAACTTTGTCATCTCTCAACTGTTCAGCTTCTTTTCTTCAGAGTGAGCTGAAATTATACAAGTTTTTAAAGTACTAGAGAAACTGTGGAGCCTTTAGCGGGTTTTAAACGGTGATTATGTCTGCTGATTTGGTTAAAAAAAAGCAAATGAATACAGGAATGACCTAAACTTAATGTTTTACCAGCATATCACACTTGAATGGAGCCCTCAGCCTATCCCATCTGCATCCGTATCTCTGAAATGGAACCGGATGCTTTGTAGCATTTGCCAGGTCCCACTGCCTGTGTATTTTATACCCTGTTGCAGCTGCTAAACACAGGTTTCCCTCAATGCAACAGATTGATTTGGGTGTTCCTGCAGAAAAGTTAAACAGGTCCTTCCTCAGAGGAAGCCCACCATGGAGCATACCCAGCCACTGCTGCTTGGCTTCCCTCTCATCCATGGAGCTGCTGCTGTGACGGCGACGCTGGGCAAGGCCTGGGAAGTGAAAAGGCAGAAACATGTCAAGAGAGGTTCTTGTCACTGTTTGACTCAGGTCTGACAACAATGCTCTCAATCCCCTCCCCCTCCCACCCAGGTAGGGAAGGAGAGAAAGAAAAAGAGAGAGACTTGGCTGGATTGAAAACTAAACTACTCAGCTTGAATTAATCACTAATGATATAAGAAAATAGATACAATTATATACAAATATGCTCAGATATGTGCAGAAGCCTCTTGCCTCCCCTCACCCCCAGCAACTCCCACAGCATCTCCTGAGCTGGGAACAGTCCCAGAAAATCCTGGAGCTGCTGGAGAAAGCAGAGAGTGATGAGGATCAGGAGAGCTGGAGCCTGGGGATCCCTGGTGAGGGATGGACGGAGTCCTGCCTGGATGCCGACCATGGGTGGAGGAGAAGGGAAGAAGAAGCAGGAAGGGAGTTGTCTTGTGTGCTCTCTGTCTTTCTTCTGAGCTTATGTAGCTCTATGGAATGGAATCTCTCTGGCCAGTTTTGCTTTCTGTCTAACTCAGCCTCCTACGGGGGGGTCACAGATCTCCCCGTAGTGTCTGAGCCGGCAGAGTAAAGATGTGAACTTGAAGACCCAGCAGTTGCAAAAACATTCTATTCTTATCAGCCTTAGGTAGAACACACTGTGACTAGTTAAAAGAAAGCTTGATGAAGGGGAAAAAAAAAAAAAAATCAGTAAAAGGAAAACTGTCTTCATCCTGGCTCAAACCAGGACAGTCCTGGAATGGCAGCTTAATAAAGCTGGGCAAGGCTGTCCAGCAAAGCATCTGGGGAGCTGAAGAGACAAAATTGGAGGGACAAAACTATTTGAAGATGCAGGCTGAGTTTACAGAACTGCTTTTGCAAATGTTGAAGTAAAAGCAGAGGTGCATCTAGCTGTGGAGAGACAACGTGGCCTGGTCCTCACGAGGCCAACCCATCCTCTTGGCCTCCAAATATGCCACAGCTGTCAGAAGTGACCAAGGGGGCTGGGCTGGTTTAAAGATCTTCCGTAATGGAGCTCCCTGAACTTCTCCAGGCAATTCATTCCAACACTTCTGTTTGTTTATTTATACAGATTTTGCTAGTGGATAACATCAATCTTGCTGCCAGGGTGTGATCTGCTACTTCCCTGTTCTACCAACTTGAGTGTTTTTGCGGAGAAACCAAGCAGGTCCTCCCTCTTCCCCAGGAAACACAATCAACCACTAGGATTCAATATTTCTCTAATATTGGAGCACGACTTTGTGCTTCACAGAGCTGTTCATACCCAAATGTTACCATTCTCAGCCAGTAACAGCTGGGACATCAGAAATATGGAGGCAGAAGCTGCTGGTGGAAGCCTGACTTTGAAAATCTTTGCAGGAAACAATATTAATTTTAAAAGACAAGTTTTGCAAGGCACATGTTGGGTTTAGCAAATGATGCTCAGATCCTTTTGCTCAACCCCCTCATTTGCTTAGAAACACAGTAGTGCCAGAACCTCAGCAAAAAACCATCACCACAGCCCACCCTAGGAAATGACCCTGGTGGCAGCACAGCTGCTGGAAGGCAAAAAAAAAAAAAGAAGACATCTGTGCAACTATGGATTCAGAGGAGCATACAGAAGCAGACAGAGCATTAGGGACAGTCTCATCAAAGACTTACACCACAAACACTGCAAAGTTACACAGGACACGAAGGAAGTGGCTCTGAGCTTATGAAAGAAGCCTGGCAGATTTGCAAAAGCTAAATGAGGCAGCAGCACCACAAATTCTACTACACACTGTAGCAAAACCCACAGCCCAAGTTTTATCACCAATTCCTCTCCACTCCTCCTCAGGATTTAAGTCCACTCAAAGCAGGATAAGCCCGTGTGATGGACCTGAAAGAAAGCAGCAGCAGGAAATATAAATGACATGACATATTTCAGCTCCACAGAAAGATTCCTTAAGAGGAAAGCCAGCATCCAGGTCAGCCTCCAGGAGCTCAGCTGTCCAGGGAGCACTGGCTGAAGGAGTTACATAGACTGCTGGGAAGAGCTGCATTGTCCAAGACTGACCACAACCACCTCACTGGTGAGTCTTCTTGTAGGATGGGTGATGCATCTGTCTTGCTTGGAACACAGGAACTGTTCTGCTATCCTGGGGAACAGGGCAGGGAACAGCTATTTCTGGGGGAAACACAGCCCACAGATTCCCAGGGCTGTGTGTTTTCAAATTTCTATTCCACCAGCAACTGGCAAGACCACCAGCCAACTGGCAGGGCCAGCAGCAGCACCCTGTCTGCAGAACAGACTGGTCACTTTTGTTTTCAAGATCTGAAAACTGCACATGACCCAGGAGATGCAGCACTTGGAGAGCTGGGACTCAGAAAGAGCTGCTGAATGAAAAGCAGAGGCATGAGTGTCTCTGTGACCACAGCATTAGCTGGAGATGCAAAGGGTAGCTTGGGAGCTACCAGCACTGTAAGACAGCTCTGCAGGGACCTTCTGTTGCTGGGTGAATCTCAGCCAAATGTATTTGGCAGGAAAAACAAATGAAGAACAGCTTTCTTTTTCCCCAATGGACAAATTCCAGCACTGATCCAGCCCCTGCCACCAACATCAAGCACCTCTGCAGGACACTGGGCCTGCACTTTGCTATCTCCACTGCCAGGCTCAGCCTGCAGAACACAAGACTTCATTTCTTGCTGCTCCATTTTCCCCCAGCACAGCTTTCAGGAGAACACAGCAAACTGGCTGCAGCTTTCTGTGACAACCTGGGCTCCTTTTGCTGCTGCCTCCACTGTTCAGACTCTCACCAAGCCCAGCAACAGAACCAGATTCTTTTTCTGGTTCTGCTGTGACACTTCACATGGGGAGGACCTGGGCTAGCGATTCATCTTCTGCAAACTGAGTATCTGGTGACTGGAGAAGGCACCTCGGAGTTCAGCAGCTTCCACTTATCCAGCAGGTTTTACATGAGGGCCCAGGGACACTGCTCAGTGGTGGCACAACCTTCAGTATTTTCACATTGCACCCAAGGCTTCTGATGGGCCATTCAGGTGACAGATGTCATTGCAAAGTGCCAGAGGAAGAGGAGGGATCCTGAAAACAAAACCCTCATTTCATGATTCATTATTTCATTCTAGGAAGAAATTCTTTGGTGTGAGTGTGGTGAGAGCCTGGCCCAGGTTCCCCAGGGAAGCTGCGGCTGCCCCATCCCTGGCAGTGTTGAAGGGCAGGTTGGATGGGGCTTGGAGCAACCTGGAATGGTGGGAGGTGTCCCTGCCCATGCAGGGGGTTGGATCTGGATGATCTTTAAGGTCCCTTCCAACCCAAACCAGTCTGGGATTCTATGATCTGCACTGAATAGGAAGGTCTCAGTCCCAAAGTCACCCATGAAGAAAGCCCTAAAGCTACTACTACCATCTTTTTAAGCTCAATTTTTGACTCCTCTGTAATGGTTTCTGCTGGATCAACTCCCAAATTGTCTGTCTGCTTTTTCTTTCAAACCAACTTCCTGCACCTACCACTGAGCCAGCCAAAGCAACAGAGCAAAAAGCGGGGATTTTGCAGAGTGGGTGGGAGATTCCCTTGGCTAGAGGAACTAAAATGAGAGAGTTCCTGGACAGAGTCAGGGCCAACAGGGCTTTTCTGAAATTCAGTGAGAGAAAACAAAACAGGGGAAGTTCATTTGGAAAGCACCAGGAAGAGAAAAATCAAACCTGAGGCTGCAGTGGCTCCCCCAGTGCTGAGTGACCAACACACAGGACACTTTTATCCCTGCCCAGCCCATGGATAGAGAATATCAAGTCCAAGAGCACAGCCTGGCAGGGGCTGCTGCAGGCTTCCCTTTTGGCATAGGGGACCAGGCACTCATATCTGCGCATGCTTCTTGTTTCTGGCTTGAGTTACCTAAAGGAGCTGGACTGGAAATGAAATGCAGCTACTGCCAGTGTCCTCCTCCTGAAATCTGGGTACTGCTGCCCAAGGCAGTGGGCGAGCAGCTCACAACCCACACAGTGACACAAACCAAGGCTCAGTGTAAGGTCTGATGCAGCACAGCCACACTTCAGGCTACCCAGCTGATCCCTTCCTTTCAGCTGGCTCTAAAACACAGCTAACCTCTGCTTTCAAGGGAGGAGCAAAACAACTTTTCTCTGTGGTACAGACTCACCAAGGCTGGAAAAGATCTTTAAGATCAAATCCAGCCTGTGACCTGACATCACCACATCTCCAGACCATGGCACTAAGTGCCACCTCCAGCCTTTCCTTGACCCCCTCCAGGGATGGTGCCTCCACCACTTCCCTGGGCAGCCCATCCCAGTGTCTGATCACCCTCTCCATGAGGAAGTGCTTCCTGATACCCACCCTAAGCCTCCCCTGGAGCTTCAGGGCAGGCCCTCTTGTCCTGTCACTGGTTGCCTGGAAAAAGAGCCCAACCCCACCTGACCACAACCTCCCTTCGGGTGGTCAAAGAGAGTGAGAAGGTCCCCCTTGAGTCTCCTCTCCTCCAGGCTGAACAACCCCAGCTCCCTCAGCCTCTCCCTGTAAGACTTTCCCTCCAGTCCCTTCACCAGCCTTGTTGTCCCCTCTGGACCTGCCCCAGCAGCTCAAGATCCTTCACCACAGACAAACACACAAACTCCAAGCACATCTGGCTTCAGCAACACCACAAAAGGACAGCCCTGCTCTTCCCCAGTCCTGCAAGGGAGAGCTTCTGCCATGGAATCCTTTGCAGGGCCAGTTAGCAGCCCAGTCAAGGGCCTTTTCTGACTCACTGCTCGGCTCAGGCTGCCACAAAGCCCCAGGCAGCACAGCCAGGCACAGAAAACCCGCACGCAGCTTCTGAGGGACACTCTGCCGAGGCCAAACAGGCCCACGTGCCACCAGGACTCCCCTGTTCAAACCACTTCCAGTCTGAAAGAACCACTCTCCAAAATCAGATGGGAAACCTTTCTACTTTAACTCCTCTGTCACTTCTAGCATTTCCCAGCTGATGGTGCAGGCCAGGACTCCAGGATTTCCAGCTCTGCCGTCATCAGAAGCAACAACAAGGCTCCAGCTGGGCCCACGTGCTGTGCCAGGGCCTCACACAAAACCTGCTCAACAGCTCAGACATCCCAACTCCCGCCCCATGTGCCTTGTAAAGCAAAGTAAGCTTGAATGTCTCCAGGGATGGGGCCTCCACCACCTCTCTGGTCAACCTGTTCCAGGGCTTCATCACCCTCACTGGAAATAACTTCTTCCTAATGTCTAATCTCAATCTACCCTGCTCTAGTTCAAGGCCATTGCCCCTCATCCCATCCCTCCCTGCTCTTGTCCCAAGTCCCTCCCCAGCTTTCCTGCAGCCCCTCCAGGCACTGCAAGGTGCTCTAAGGTCTCCCTGGAGCCTCCTCCTCTCTGGGCTGAACATCCCCAGCTCTCTCAGCCTGTCTTCAATCTTTCCCCAACTGCAGTCTGTTCTGCCTATGACAGTAACTGGTGAGCGATCTCTCCCTGTTCCTATCTCAACCCACAGGCCCTTTGACGTATTTTCTCTCCCCGTCCCGCTGAGGAGGGGAGTGACAGAGCAGCTCTGGTGAGCAACTGGTGTCCAGCAGGGTCAACCCACCACGCTGACACTTCTAGGCCAAAAGTTGTGCTGCCAGGAAAAACAAACCAACGCAACACATTTCAGCAGTTTCAAAACCTTCCTTCAAGAAATCCAGAAGGGAAAACTTGGCAAAATAAACTTTGTCAACAAGAAATATGGACTGAAGCTGAATTTTCTGATTAAGAAAATCACTGCCATAGAGAAGCTCCCAAGCTACTATTGCATCACATCACTGTTCTCTCTCACAGCTCTTGTGACACTCACCACGCTCAGGAAGAGCAACCAGGGATCCCTGCACCACAACACACCTTTTTCCTTACATTTCAAATAGACTTAATTAATGTCTCAAGAACACTATTTATTTTTTTTCTCTAGGCCAAGTGACCTTGCCCTTAAGGAGACTTCCAATTCAGGAATCCAGATGATATGATCATGCACGTTCCCACTACATCCAAGGAACCCTCCATCCTCTTGCTGGAAGAGCCAAGTAAGCACCCACCAGCACCAGCGAGGTGTAGCACAGCTGGAGGAACAGCACACCTGAAAATGTGAACTTTTGCTGTTTGCTGGCAAGAACTGTGTCTGGAGGGACTGATCTTATTGCAGAGATGACAGTGACAGATGGACAGAGTGAATCAGAAGGGAAGTCATGATCAATCAAGTGGCTTGGTTCAGAAGGCTCGTAGCTGCCTGGACACCACAGAGAGAACTGTCTCCTCTCAAGTGAGGGCACTGGGGGGGTCACTGCCTGGACTGGTCTGCTGGCCATGGAGAGCCAAGGTGTTGGCTGTGTCTGAGGAGGGCCAGAAGAAGCTGGCCCCATCTCCATTACCTTCTCCTGCAAAACTGATGAGCAGTATCTCCAGATCCAGAGGGAGGTCGAACTCCATGCAGAGGTACTGCGTGAACTGCTTCCAGGTGGCAGGGCCAGCCTTCTCCAGCAGGTCGAGCAGCCTGGAGACCTTTTCTCGGTGGTCGGTGATGCCCTCCAGGCCATGCAGGGCCACCTCGGGGAGGAAGCGGCGGGAGGTGACGAGCAACCAGTCGGGATGGTGGAGGAGAAACTGCACCAGCTGCGGGCGGGTCCTGGCAATGGCCACGGTCAGGCTGAGATCCTCGTTCAGAGAGGGAGGCTGGAGGGACGAAACCAGAAAGGGCAGCAATGGGTGTGGAGCGAGAGCTGTTCACCCACACAGCCCTACTGTGGAGCAGCCAGCAGAGCCCTTGGTGACTTGATCTGCTGTCCCACCCCTGCTGTTGGACATAGCATCTCCTCTCTGCCCTGGCCCAGCTGTGACACGGGGGCCCCATGAGGGACAGGAGCCAGCAGCAGGACCCAGCCTCTCTGGCACCAGCCCAGGAGAAGCTCTGTTGACATCTGGAATGCTGCAGTGCCCATCTGCCCAACATAACACCTCAGGCACCTCTCACAGGCAGGAGGACCTCCGGGGAAGCGCAGGACTCTCAGAGCAAGACGTTGCCCTCCACAAAGGGCTCAGCCAACTGTCCTGGCTGCTCATTTGGTGGATATGGACAACTTCTTTCTGCTTTCTTTCGCCCTCCACTTCCACTTCCTTCCCACAATAAAGCCACATATACATGGTCTCCTACCTGCATTGTGGTGTGCTCAGCCTGTCCCAGTCGTCAAAGGCAAAGGTGGCTCCTGCTCCATGTCCTCACGGTGACCTGCACTGCTCGGGGCAGCATTTCAGCACACAGGGACACCCCAGAGCACCCTGCACGCCCACAGGCAGTTGCCTCACTGGGTGCAGATGCCTAGAGACAGTAACAACAGACATGAGTATGTAGATATGCAAGGGTATGGGCAATTGACACAGCTCTCACATCTAGAAGCTCTGCCTTTGATCCTGGGGTCAGCAACCTCAACTCAAACCAGCAGAGCCCACTAAGTTTGGACATTTGAGCGGGATCCTGGCCCAGGTTGCCCAGGGAAGCTGTGGCTGCCCCATTCCTGGCAGTGTTGAAGGGCAGGTTGGATGGGGCTTGGAGCAGCCTGGGCTGGTGGGAGGTGTCCCTGCCCATGCAGGGGGTGGGACTGGATGATCTTTGAGGTCCCATCCAACCCAAACCATTCTGTGTTTCTATGATGAAAACGTGGGATTGAGCCTTGTGCCCTAAGATGCAGGTGAGCACAGGCTTGACAGGAACACTTCAAGGGAATCACAGCTCCTCCGCAACTACACAGCTCTCCCAAAAGAGTTCCAGTTGCTGAACACCCCCCAGTGCCAGTGGCAGCCCCCACCTCTGCAGAGATGACAAAGGGGAGTTTCTTCCCACACCGCAGCTGGTGCTGGTGTCCAACTGCTCCTACCACAGGGAAAGGGATGAGGAGAGCAGTCACCATCCTGCACACCTCCAAACTTCCTGCAGCAGGACCCAGCCCAGGCTGCAGCAGGACTTTGCCACTGAGCTATCCCAGCAGAGTGCTGCCTCTGCTGATGTTGAAAGGCAGCTCCAATGACCAGCACCATGTTTGCACAAGAAGCAGCCTCCAGCCAACACCAACTGCCTGCCTAGAGGGGACAGTCCTTCTGGGCCCTGGACTGCTGAGCTGTGTGTGGGACAAATTTCCACAGCTGCTGTAACAGTAAAGTGAGCCAAAGGACTTCAGGCTTTTATTTTTGTCTTCTTCTTGACCCAGACAGAGAGGAATCACAGAATCACCAAGGCTGGAAAAGACCTTTAAGATTATCAAGTCCAGCCTATGACCTGACACCACCACATCAGTCAGACTATGGCACCAAGTTCCAGCTGGTGTCCAGTGACCAGCTGCGTCCCCCAGGGATCAGTACTGGGCCCAGTCCTATTCACCTGGCAGTGTTGAAGGGCAGGTTGGATGGGGCTTGGAGCAGCCTGGGCTGGTGGGAGGTGTCCCTGCCCATGCAGGGGGTGGGACTGGATGATCTTTGAGGTCCCATCCAACCCAAACCATTCTGTGTTTCTATGATGAAAACGTGGGATTGAGCCTTGTGCCCTAAGATGCAGGTGAGCACAGGCTTGACAGGAACACTTCAAGGGAATCACAGCTCCTCCGCAACTACACAGCTCTCCCAAAAGAGTTCCAGTTGCTGAACACCCCCCAGTGCCAGTGGCAGCCCCCACCTCTGCAGAGATGACAAAGGGGAGTTTCTTCCCACACCGCAGCTGGTGCTGGTGTCCAACTGCTCCTACCACAGGGAAAGGGATGAGGAGAGCAGTCACCATCCTGCACACCTCCAAACTTCCTGCAGCAGGACCCAGCCCAGGCTGCAGCAGGACTTTGCCACTGAGCTATCCCAGCAGAGTGCTGCCTCTGCTGATGTTGAAAGGCAGCTCCAATGACCAGCACCATGTTTGCACAAGAAGCAGCCTCCAGCCAACACCAACTGCCTGCCTAGAGGGGACAGTCCTTCTGGGCCCTGGACTGCTGAGCTGTGTGTGGGACAAATTTCCACAGCTGCTGTAACAGTAAAGTGAGCCAAAGGACTTCAGGCTTTTATTTTTGTCTTCTTCTTGACCCAGACAGAGAGGAATCACAGAATCACCAAGGCTGGAAAAGACCTTTAAGATTATCAAGTCCAGCCTATGACCTGACACCACCACATCAGTCAGACTATGGCACCAAGTTCCAGCTGGTGTCCAGTGACCAGCTGTGTCCCCCAGGGATCAGTACTGGGCCCAGTCCTATTCAACATCTTCACTGATGACCTGGATGAGGGGACAAAGTCCACCCTTAGTAAATTCATGGGTGACACCAAGCTCGGGGGGTTGGGGGGGGTGTCAATCTGCTGGATAGTAGGAAGAAGCTGCAGGGGGACCTGGACAGGCTGGGTCAATGGGCCAAGGCCAATGACATGAGGTTCAACAAGGCCAAGTGCCAGGTCCTACACTTTGGCCACAATAACCCCCTGCAGCTCTACAGACTGGGGGCAGAGTGGCTGGAGAGCAGCCCAGCACAGAGGGAACTGGGAGCACTGGTTGACAACTGGTTGGACATGAGCCAGCAGTGTGCCCAGGTGGCCCAGAAGGACAACGGCATCCTGGCTTGTATCAGGAGTGGTGTGGCCAGCAGGAGCAGGGATGTGATTCTCCCCCTGTGCTCAGCACTGGTGAGGTCTCACCTCCAGTCCTGGGTGCAGTTCTGAACCCCTCACTGCAAGAAGGATCTTGAGGTGTTGGAGCAGGTCCAGAGGAGATGAGGCCGGTGAAGGGATTGGAGGGAAAGTCTTACAGGGAGAGGCTGAGGGAGCTGGGGCTGTTCAGCCTGGAGAAGAGGAGACTCGGGGGGGACCCTCTCACTCTCTTCATCTACCCGAAGGGAGGTTGTGGTCAGGTGGGGTTGGGCTCTTCTCCCAGGCAACCAGTGACAGGACAAGAGGGCCTGCCCTAAAGCTGCTCCAGGGGAGGTTTAGGGCGGATATTAGGAAGCACTTCCTCATGGAAAGGGTGATCAGACATTGGAATGGACTACTCAGGGAAGTGGTGGAGGCACCATCCCTGGAGGTGTTTAAGGAAAGGAAAGTGGGAGATTTCTGTGGAGCTGAGGGAAGAACTCAAAACAGAAGTGGAATACAGAAGGATGCTTGGATGGGAAGAGCCAAGACCTTCCCCCCTGTGCACAGACAATTCCTAATTCACCAGAAAGTTAGGCTGGTGCTGGGGTAACCTCAGAGCCCCCTCCAAGGTGCAGGTGGCACAGAGAGAACATCACCTCCCCTCACCACTGCTGGGCATGAGACACACCCAGAAGCTGAAGACAAAACAAAAAGGAGGCACCACGTTGGAGCACAGGAGGTGAAACTGCTCAAGATGTTTGTCCTGATCATGTTAAAGAGGACACCCCTTCTCCCATAATCCAGCACCACTTCCAGCCCTCTCTGTTGTGCCTTTTCCAACAGCCTGGGGTGTTTAGAGGCGAAGCCAAATTAATGCATAACCTGACCAAGTGCTGTAGCAGAAGACTGTATGGAAGGGACCTCATCAGTGTCTTCTGCTCCTGTGCTTCAGAAGCCACACAGATATCTGAGGAGAGCAAAGCTGGTGACACCATAAGCTCTGTTACCCATCTCTGACACGTCAAGTCAAAAGCACGTCACAAGTTGGTTATTCTGCAGCATCACCACAACACAGTATCAGGGCAAGAAAGACTCTACCCACATTCCCATTCCAGATCAAGCTTTCAGAATAGGTTGCACCCAAAGTGAGGTAGCTCTGGGTTCATCAGAAAGTGGGTAAAACCTACAGTTTGTAGAAATCTTATAATGCCTCCCATTTGCTACTCTAACAATAACAACCAAAATGTTCCTGGTGAAATGCTAAGAAAAGTAGGCTTAATCAGGATAAGTTTTCTCCTCAGGCTATTTCCATTATGCTAAAAAACTCAATCTCTGAACCTTGTGGAAAGGACTCCAAGTTTATTATGGAATTCATTTGATATTCTCAGTTATCAATACACAAATAAAGAATGCTAAAAGCCACAAATACATTAGAAACAAAGGGAACAACATTTCAATTAACTGGAAAGCTGAAGAAAATATTTAAACATTTCAAACTTAAGCAAACTGCAAAATAACAGGGCTTCCTGCAAAGCAAACTTCATTTTCCAATAGTCTGATCAGTCAATTTTTAGGGCCTTTTTGTTTTACATTTCTCCAGCCAAAAAAACCCAAAAACCTGTAGTCAGCAATACCCTGACTTCATTCTCCTGATGACCAAGAACTACCCACTTAATAAGACTGTAGACAGCAAATAAATGATCAGACCTTAATGCCAATGAAGACTGAAAACTGTTCAGGCAAAGACTAGACTCAGAAACAACCCTAAGAAGTTAGCTGAAAACTCAGGCAACACTGCACGGTTTCAGTACTGCTACTGCTCTGCTAGAACTAGAAACAATAGCCAGTAACCAACAGGAAAATGCCACTGAGCCCAAAAAAACAAGCACAAAAACCTTCCAAGCAGAGCCAGAAAACTTTTGAGCCCTGACTCTTGCCCTAACCCTCTGAAGTGCAGAAACACTGCTAACACACACTGCAGAAATCCTCCTCACCTGCCCAGCCCGGCATTCACACCTGCCCAGCCCTGAAAAATAAAACCAAAACAATCCCTATTGCAAATCTCCCACGCTGTGAGGAGCAGAGGCCACGTACCGACAGCCCAGGAGCAGCAGGGACAGCAGAGCAGGGGTCACAGAATAAAGGAACTGGGAGACAACACCCGCTGTCCCCACTTCTTCAGTTCTCACCCCCCCGGGACCCTCCGGAGCCTTTTGTGACTAATAAGCAAAATGAAAGTAAAAGCAGCTCCGAACTCCCCCGGCTGCAGCTCGTCTGTGGTAAAAAACGGTGAGACAGGCAAAAAACACCCAAACAGAGAAGCAGTTACCGATTCTAACAGACGTAGGCAGATGTAAAGCTTTTGAGGAATGGTCTAAAGAAACGGGATTTTGGCGTCAACTCCGACTTGGTTGTGGTGAAGGCTCTTGCAATGGGAACATTATTCCTGATTATTCTGGTTTACAGGGAAATATTTATTCAGTATTTCCATTATACCTAAGGGGGGAGGGAGGGGAAGCAACCTGCCTTCCCTTTGGAATGGGGACAAGATTTAAGTGATAA